GTACAGGGTTTAGCATATATAAATCTTGAACTGAACCCATCCCCACAGAGAGGCGTGTCTTGTGTATCCCCTTCTGATATCACAACTGCTTATTCCAAGAACATGAAGCCTCAAGCTATCAATAATGCAATAAACAGCACTGTTTTGTACATACTGCTTCACTCCAAGGAGAACAAGCATGTACATATAATAAACATATTGCATATACATGTCCACAAATATACATCAGCTGGAAAATCCCAGATTTTGCCTCATCACACTTGCCACTCCAAAAAAAGATCATAAGAAAAGTAGTTCATTAAATTGAATAAAAGAAGCACTATGTAACATAAAATAGTGAGCAAAAGTCATAGAGGCCCCGTGGATGTAAATTTCTTAAATTCAACACACATAGTATAAGATAGTGAACAAAAGTCATAGAGGCCTTACTGATGTAACCTTCTTAAATATCTGGGCAGCATTAGAGCATTCAACATAGGGATACTCAAACGTCACCAATTCTAACAAGCACATCCCAAATGCATATACATCTACCAGCTCATTATATTCCTCCTCATACAATTCTGGTGCCATGAACTCAGGAGTGCCTATATAAGGAGCAAAATTACAACGGCAACATGTCATTGAGCACTTCGGTAGACCCAATGTAAAGAATGTGAACAATAAATGAAGAAACAAGATCAAGACTGACCTATGACACTGTGAGCAGACCGAGCCTGTTGTAGGATAGCAGCAAGTCCCAAGTCACCAATTTTCACCTCTCCTTGGTTTCCATTAACAAAAATGTTATCACATTTCAAATCCCGATGTATAACTGGTGGATCATGACTGTGGAGATAAAAAAGCCCTTCTAATATCTGCCTAGACCACTTCTTCAATGCTCGTAAATCAACATTTTTATGTTTCTTCCTGTACCTACACAGAACATTCAAAATTAATTGCATCCTAGCTGCTAAATAGATATTTCCATATCCACAAACATAAACAAAATTATTTACAACATACTGTCGTAAAGTCCCAGAAGTGAAAATCTCTGTAATGAAGTTAATATTCTCATGCTTAGAATCGACCCATGAGTTGTAAAACTTGATAATGTTCTTGTGCTTAAGGGTTTTTAGCAAATGAACTTCTGAATACAAACGCTCCACATCGTCCTTATTCCTTAAAAGATCAGACACCTTCACTTGATTCCATGCCACTTCAATCCCTTCCAGTTCATCAAACGCTCTATATCTACATTGCCATCATCCAGAAAAAAATATTAAAAAAATTAATCAAACAGCCACTCACCCTGTGCAACAAGCGTTCAAAAGCACCTATATACAACATATTTACACAATAAATAATAAAAATTCAGAAAAAGACATACACTTTCTTGAATGCTCCTTTCCCCAATATTTCCTTGTACTGCCAAATGCAATAGAAAATACCCAAAATTAAATCTTTTTCTAATATGAATCCAGTATGCTTCTCATTCGGATGGCAGTTATGAAACACTCCTAAAGAATCCCAAATGCATAAACTCATAAATATGCTTACCCGCCCATATCGACCAGAAGGATCCACCTCAACAAATTCGGGTTCAACATCAGACTCATCCGGGTCTTGCTCCGAGGCAGAATCCTGGGCCATTGTCTCAGTGAGCTGGAGTTCAATCCAATCAAATCCACCAAATGAAAGATTTTTCTCTCTATCTGGAGGAAATAACGCAAACCCTTTTAACCCCAAAAAGACAAAAAACTCAGATCAACTGGAGGAATTCAACTCCAAAATCCAAATTCAATCAAAATCCACTTAGGAAACTCAAATTTCAACAGTAAATTCGACAAATTTGGACTGATTACAGAAAAAGATCGAATTTTTATAGTATGTATAGGAATCCCATTCGAACTACGTATTTACATCTTGTTCAGAATAAATCAGATAAATAAAGGGGAAGAAGAAACGTGTATAACAAGTGAGGAGCAGTTTGAGAACTTTCGTTCACGCCTTTATCATATTCTACAGTATATTAGTAATACAAGTAATACTAATGACAGGAGAAAAGTTGCTTTTTATTTTTATTTGTTTGTTTAATCATGAAATTCAAAAAGTCAACTTAGGATCACATGTCATTTTCTACTTTTCTGCTAACTTTTTGTGGTACTTTGGCAAAAGCAAAATTAAACCTAAAACGGCAATTTAGCATTTTTTTTTTCATATGGTGCGTTTATTTGGATAGCCTATTTATTGGAAAAAAAAATATGTTGCATCATAAATATATTTTTATAATCAGATTTTTATTGTTAATCACTTCTTTATTTTACATATATCATATCACAAATTATTGAATTAAGATTGAAATACATAAATGAGGTTTTTTTTTTAATCTTCCCACTCCTCCCCACACCTTTCCCACCTCTAATTGACAGGTATAGGATTCGAATCATAAATTTGATAGTGCATATTCCTTTTCGTTAATTACAAAGTTCAATTTAAAATATCAATTTTTTGAAAAATTATTTTCAAAATTAAATATAGGTTGCAACATAATTGATTGGTTGTTGTATTTATCAAGTTTTCATTAGATTCATCAGGAGTGAAAAATGTTTCGTGTAGAAACAATTTTTAGCATATCATCTGTAAAATGATGCACCATAATATTGATCTAATCGATTAATCTATCATCTTTTACATAATGTTAATTTAATGATATTATTTATATACAAATAATAGATTATGCCAATAAGGCTTTGATTTTGTGATAAAATAACCAATTATTTATTTCAGTAAATGTGGGTTAGTTGAAGTGATGTAATCTTCATTAATTTTAAGTTTGTGACAAGTTTAATTCATCTCACAATAGTCAATTACATATAATCCTACCAAACCAATACCAATAATAATATATTCAGCCGTTTTATGAGTTTTCTACAATTCCCTTGTAATTGCTTTCATATTACTTTCATTGTTTGAACATTTAGTTCTATTGAAGCCTAATTTCTTTATCATATATCAGTCAGCACACATGCTTTTTTTTTATTATTATTTATAGTGCACATACACTTATTTATTTCTCTCTTCCCCTCTTTTTTTTTTTTTTTTAACTTTACTCTTTTTAAATAAGAATTTAAAACCTCACTTGACCAGTAGAGACAGGTTTAGACAAATTCTGTATTTATTCACAGCTCCATGAATGAAACTTTTTATCATTAATTGTTTTTAGAAAATATTTTTATCAGAAAAAAGCAAAAAAAAAAAAAAAAGAAAAGGTGGCAGCCTCCTAGACTATTCTAGCTTTCACGAGGTTGGCTGCTAAATGTGAAAAGATTTCTTTTTCTCTTTTTTGGTACATAAAGATCACAAGCTTTGAGTCTTTGACCACCTAAATTTCCACTAAAAAGTGAAAAAAAAATGAGTGGTCAAATTAAGCCACAAGATTGTTGGGCGGCAACAAAACAGTCTAAACTATAGTCCTCTACAAAGAAGTCATCCTTCAACAATCAGTCTAAACTATATAGTTGCGTGTGAATGGCAAAATTCTCTATCTTAATAAGAGATTGATTGCACTTTTAGGTCCATTTTACGATAGCCAATTTACAACGAATATTACCTCCAAATCATGAATAATGACTAACTTGTAATTGTTGCTTTTATTTGAATTGGATTTACGACAATCAAAATGGCAATTGCATTCAAATTTCTTTTCATCCGCATACAAGTTCATTCTACACCAAAATTTCAAAATGAGGGAAGATCCCTAGCTTTTATAAAAACTACGCGGGGGGATCATTTACATTTGCCGCTTTAATTGTAATGTCTTGTCAATTATAAATGCTAAATTTCTTCAAATGTTACTGGAGAATGAGTAGATATGAGGAGAGAAAGAGAGAGTTTGACCAAAGGATACATTCAACTCTACTTGAAAAAATCTATCGCTATATTTCAATACAATAATAGAACGAACTATAACTAATGAAACAAAGAGACGTTTAAAACTCAGTAAATTCAAGTTTCATACAATCAACAAGTTATAATGCATTAGCTACTGTGCTATCACATTATTTGACGCGACAACTAACCGTGTTTATTACTTTGTTCTTATATGTGAGGCAAACCATTGTTCAAAAATTTTGAGAGGATAAAATGATCCTCAAGCATAAGTTTAAGGGGCTAAGCGTAATTAAAACATACAAAGAAAGGATCAGGAAAAAGACTGACAACTACTTCGGATTATTCCATTAATTTTCTGTTCGCATAAAAATGGAATAATTTTCAAGTGAGAGCCAATTTTTTCCATGATCAGTAATCATATCCATCCACCAATTTGTCTTAAAAGAATGCCTCATGACTCATAAGTCACTAATTTCGTGTTTGAGCATCAGCCCACCAACCATTTTTTCCATTTAATGCCTCTTCACGTTCACTTAGAGCTCCTCCATCTTGAATCCAATTGGATTCAATAATTCATTCGCATCTCAACAAATAGCACGATTTTGTATTCGAGGAACTGGAGATTAGTACTAATTTGAGTGATTACACCAGGCCATGATGCTCGTTGCCTGATTCAGAAGTACATTATGCTTCAAGAAATGGGAAGCAAAATGGTTATAAGCTATCCAAAAAAGAGATCTACTGTCTGCTTAACTCTACAATGACTATGACACTAAAGTATAAAATTGTCAAATAAGTAACATGGCTATTCTCTTCTTTCCCTTTTTCCCCCTAGCAAGAAATGGATGAGATTTAAGAAACAAGAGGAGGGAGGAAAGATAGGGAATTCAAACTCAGAATCTCCCAAGTTTTGGAACCTCAACTTTAGCCACTACACCATAGTCTCGTCAGCCTGTGACTATTCAGTTTTGCCTCTCAAGTTCATTGATGAAGTTATGGGTACAAGCCAAGTAATATTTTCTGCAGAAATTGACCTTGTCGTCAGCAGATACCTCCTAACCGAACATCCAAAAGTCAAGGCTCAATCAAGGATTACCAGGACAACAACACTGCAACATTACAAGTTTTTAGTTCTTGTTGACAAACATAAACAAACAGAACAGCACTAGTTGACAAATCTTAAGATCACGGTCATAGTAAGCATGCGACAGTCGTCTTACTCTTTTGAGGTCCACTAGCACATGTTGATATAATGCAAATCTCAGATGTAGACCAAGGGTTAGTAGAATTATTATACCTTGCCAAATGTTAGTACCTTTTTTTCCTCAAAAGGGGAAAAAAAACTTAGTATCTTTTATGATTGCAGAAGCAACTGTAAATATTTCACATTTGGTGTATGATATTATAATTTTTCGGCCAGTCTAAGCAGTAGCAATTGACCTTCAACGGTGACTAGTCTGATGAATAATTAACAATATTTATCTACTTATAAGACCTGAATACCAAGTAAAACTGCTTCTGGTAGAAAACCATTTTAAAAAGCTAAATTAAAGCGTTATCTTTTGAACAAATCCTTTAGCTGGCCTTTCACATTCTTCATAGAGTACTTTGAATATTCTGCTGTAAGAAATTTTGTAACATATCTACAAGGAATGAAGCAAGAAGATCTAACCAGTTTAATGGAGTAAAGCACAAAAGTATTGTTTATGACATGTTACTACAAATTATCTGTACCAACAGAAATAGAATGCAGATGGTATAAAGTTGGTGGATTGCGTCACTTAACTGCCCTGAAAATCACAAGACCATAGCTATATTATTTAGTCTACGAGGTGAGCAATATAATGCTGCCATAGAAGAGTTAGTATATTCTAAGAATTTAGGCAGTTAGTCAAGCATTCTGATCCAATGCAGCCTCTTCCAACCAACTAATCAAATCAAAAGGATAAATGGACAAAACCCTGATAAAAAGAAAAATCACTTTGCATACAGAATTATTTGCATAAAGTCAGTCGAAGTGTCTGCAGAAGAAAAAATGGAGCCCTACCATTTTCTGAATTCACATACACTTTTCATCTTAGACAACGTGCTATTATTTCTTAAGTGCATTCATCTTGTCCCTGAGATAGTATAGCTTGGCCCTCCGCACTTTCTTTTTGTCCAGTACCTTAATCTCCTTGATATTAGGCGAGTACCTGAGATCACCACCCATTCAGTCATTACTTGAAGCACTATTCCAGTGAAAGTAGCTCATCACAATTAGACGTAGAGGAGCACATGCTATATATATATATATATATATATATATATAAAAGCACATGCCAGAAGAGAATGTGATGGGACATGATTGAAACTTCACACAAATTATTTCATAAACTTGAGAGTATAGATATCAGAAGACAGAGAAGAGGTGAAGCCATGATAATGATCAAAAGAAGGGTGATGAGATGTGATGCAAACAACCTAGTTTCAGGGTGAAAAGGCAACCAGGTTCAAAACCCAGATAAATGCAATACGGGGAGATTCCAGAACTAATTGAGACATGCAAAATTCCAAATTAAATGACATTACCAACCATATTCTGCTTCTACCAGGTGGGATAATAAAGTTTAACATAAGACCAAAGACAACATGATCCAGCTTATAACCTACCAACTCAGAAACTGACTTTGAGAACCATTAGTCTTTTATCAGCCTATGTAAATCCCAGGCACCTGGTGGATTAAGTTGAAGAGGTGGCCAAATAAAGCACTGCTGCCACTTACCAGATATACTGGCTTCCACCTAAAGAGTTTCCCCATGATGATCCCAAACAGCTTAAATTCTACACAATTCCCAGAAAGAGACATACATCTGTTCTGGATGCTATGTGTAAGAAGGACACTCTCCTCAAAGCAGAAAACAAAAGGGTAAACAAAGAAGAGTTTCACTGTGGACATGCAGCAGGTCATTTGATTCTCAATCTCAATGACAATAAACTAAAGACTTACAGTTGATAAAGGGATTCAACGCCAACGCCAGCCACAAGTCTTCTCAATCTAAATGTTGTACTGATACCAGAATTTCGTCTTGCTATTACTATGCCTTTAATTACTGAAACACGTCTTTTGTTCTCAGGCACTTCCTGTTTTAATGAAATCACATGAAATTAATAAGTTATCTTTACTATCAATCAGCAAATAAACGCATTTAGACGCCAAGAGACCTGATGTCAAATCTGCAAAGGAAAAGAGGCCAAAAAATTTGAAAACCATAATTTCCTTTTAACCAAAATCTTCCATACCACTTTGAGCTGGACCATATAACCAGGTTTAATTTCAGGAATCCCTCTCTTTGACTTCACTTCCTCAACTGCTTCCTTATCAAGAATCTGTCACAATCACAAGTTAAACAAAGTTACGAGTAGAGATAAGCATAACGGTAGAAGAATATAATTAGTGAAAAATAATAAAAGATGGAAGTAAAATTACTAGAAACATGATCAATAACTTTCATGCCTGCATTATGTGCCTTGCTGTTTTATCAAGCCTCTTAAATTTGATCCGTGTAGGTATGTTCGCTGTAGTGACAGAAGCATCTTGAGGAGCAGATTCGACTGAATTTCCAATTGTTGAGAAGCACCTGTTGGTTGGCACAAGTCTAACCAATTGAGATAAACACGGTGCAGGCCCAGTCCAAGATTTTTCCCCTTTCCACATGCCATTGTTCTTGAATGACATCAAGAAGCCAGTTTCTGTACCAAACTCCTTGAGCTGAAAGAATCATCAGCATAAAACAATATTAAAATACAGAAAATGTTTTTTGGTTATTAGCATCATGAGCAATTGGTTAGATATATTCCTGTAAAGCATATATTAGTAAAACACATTGTATCTTCGACATGAGTTACTTGATGATTCAAATCTGTACCTCCCAGATAATGCACAAATGCACATCTGCGACATGACTTCCAAGGAAAGCATTATAGATCATCATGTAGACATATGCATATCACATCACTTCACTTTTAGTTGCAGAAACAACAATGAATAAGAAAGCACCAAGCTAACCATAGGCAACTGTTACCATACAAGTTAAGGAATTTGGACAAATAAATTCCAAATCACTCTGGAAAGCAAGAAAGCGAACTTATCAAACTCAGGCAGTGTTCTCGTTCAGTAGTTCTCTATTGTCATACTGTATTACAAGACTATTTTTGTCATACTAATGGTTTTCATAGTTGAGTTTTCAGGTTTTATTATTTGTATGAACAAATTAGGTTGCAGATTTTTTTTTTTAATTTCCTAACGTCTTGAATTCCATTTTCTATTTTCCAATATAAATGGACAGCCATTATATCTATATCTGTATTTCTATCTACACATTACCTTGACGTGCCAAAATGCAAACACCAAGCTTCAGGTGCAGGTCCTAGAAGTAAACAGCAAACATTTGCTTCTCTCTCCTACTACCAGCTTCTTTTAATGGAAGAAATAGCAATGCATCTTAACTTGCCTAAGGAACTTATTTTCCTATAGACCAATCTAAGTAATGCACAAGATTAAGAATCTTAATCCAAGTTTACAGTGATCTTAAGTATCTTTTGAAACATATATTGCTTAATTAGGGCATAACTCATACAAGTAAGACATTGGAGTTAGTTTATTTTGGCTTTCCAAGGAAGTTTACGATGACAATATTCAACAAATATGCCAATTTTGTCATGACTTAGCACTTCTTTCGGGATAAAGATAAGGATCCCATAATATAAAGGGCTCAAAGTGCTGCAACCCACATAACAATGAGCATGAATCAGTAAGAGTAAGGACAATTATGTTCAGAGAAAACAAAAAACCTTGAGAAAGCAAAAACCTTAAGAAATGCACAAAAACGTCCAGCCCCTCAAGAGTTTCGTGCGTACACAACGCAAATAAAAGATTCAGCAAAACCTGGTTTTAGCTCTTGGATATTGGCATCCTCAAAAACATTTCCAATAATGTCTTTCCAAATGATCCACAGAATTATGTGACATAATTCCTTCCATGAGCCACCATTTTTGGATGTTAAGAGGATTCTACATAGCCTACCTCTGGTCCTTTTTGACCAATGGGGAACATGACAATCAAAAGAAAGTTCTGGCTTTTAAGGCAATCTCAAGATTCCATCTAATATAATATCAAAACTGTACAAATAAGATTCACTGTCAAGCGGATATAAACGGTGACGTGTGAGAAGAAAGACATTGGAAATAGTATAAGAACATAACAGCATTTAAATGTTAATTCAGATAAATCAGATTAGGGACAGGAAACTGCTGAAAACTGAGAAAAACTCGCCGCAGCTAGGAACATAGTTAGTTCACCAATATTTTACTACTGAGAACAAGATAGTTTCTCACTCATTTTACTTGCTCAGTCTGTTGTCCTCAAATAGTAAAGTTATTGTAGAAAGAATTTTTTACAAGCATGATGCTGTGCATGTACGCTTGAAAGTAAATTTCACTGATGTCCAAATGAATAAAATTAGGACACTCCTTACATATGCTTTAGAGAATGAGGTTGGCCATACTAAAAGCAAGCCATGTATGTTCCCCCTCTTAAGAACATAAGCATTTGTTTCCTCGTCTTAACAAAAGATAAGGACAAGATATACTGTTACAACGCAACATGTCGGTCAGAAGTGAACTCCAACTGGTGCCCCAATTTAATTACTGTTACAGATATCAGTATCTTTGAATTGATTATACTATTACAATACTAACAATCTTCCCTATTGCAGGCAGCAAGAATTAGAACAACAGAGTGGAGAACTAAACAGAACAGCGAAACCATTCCATTTGAATTCTGAGGGCCTGTAAATATCCTATATTTTACTGGCAAAGTGGCAACATAGTTAACTCAGTTCCAGTCATCCAATTTAACTCGTCAAAATGCCAGAACAACTATCTCATAATCTCCAAAAGCGAAACTTAATTCTGCTCATACCCATATAAACTCCCTCAGTACCATGATCAAGCTGTGTTCTGTAGACCTAAAGCCTTCAACAGCTAATCTCTTCTCATATATTTTCTACATAAATCACTATAGCATCCTACTTGACCATCACTTAAATTATAGATTCCACCCTTTTCATTCTACCATCCACTTCCTCTATTAAATGGAGGTTCTTAACACGAAACTAGTTGTGTAGTCGAGGACCTCGCTGTCTAATTCTTGTACTCCCAAGTCAAATTCAACATTAAAATACTTTTTCCTACACGGGACACAAGTAATAATCTTTCTCAAGTTAATTATGGAAAAATGAAAAATATTACAAGCGGCAAAAAAAAAAGAAAAAAAAAACAACTAACATACAACATACAAAAAAATTTCAAAATAAAACAGTTTGGCAACAAAAATACAATGAAAAAAATATCTTAAAAACCTTTTAACTGACCTGCAACCATAAGGGATTTGAACCAAAATGAGTGCTCGAGCTAGTGACAGCACTGTCCCACACTGCTCTCTTGAGATCAACATTTTTAAAATTGTTGATGGTCAGCCTCCCTATCAGTCGAATCTTTCCATGAATAGCTTGCATTTCTCCACACTATTATCCTGCAATCAACCTCAAAAAAAATAGAACATCAATAAAAAGTACAATGCTTTATCTTTTTAATTTACTTCCCAAGAAACCACGGCAGCTGAATTCAATCAACGCACAAACAAGATTAAATCTTTAAGCACTATTGGAGCAACCCATTATGCTAAATCTAAAGGAAATTGAAAATAAGTAAGTGCGTCTGATTCTATTCATTGTTTGGATGGGTTAATAAAGATTTTCATTAAATTTTTGTGCTTTTTGTGGGTTTTATCAGGTTGGGCATAATAGAAGAATTGAAAGGAAAAAGGAAATGCCTACAGAATATTAGAATATTGAGGAGGGAATGGCCTAGAACTGTTACTCACCAAAAAAAAACAAAAGGAGGAGAGGAGGGAGACAAAGGAGGATGATCCGATACTAGGGAAAATGAAATCTACAGGGTGGTGGCAGTGGTGGTGGTGGGTGGATGGTTGTGGCAGGGTTTAGGGCTTTGAGCGCTTACAAGAAGTTTATGGGATATTTTGTTTGATATAATTTCACAAACCTCCACTGAGGCATAAAATATATCTGCAAGCGCTCTCGAGTTCTAAAAATTATACATGCATCATGTGGTTTTTAAACCCAATACACTAATTTAACGATTCAATAATTGGGATTTTATAAATGTATATTTTCCTCTACTGTATGATACATGGAAATTATGAGGTTCAAAATATTATGATGGATGTTGTATTAAAATTTTTACTGCTTGCAAATGAATTTCTACAATAATTTCTCTAAAAACTACAACAAAATAGTAAACTTTATGTTCTTGTATATGTTTGAAAAGAATTAGTATATGATATTATAACGATATAGAGGAAAAACATGAGAAATCATCTCTTCTCTCTTTTTTATTCCCTAATAGCTATTAGATGTTTACTTTTTTTTTTTTTTTTTTTTTGTAAGCGGGAGGACTCGAACCCGAGACCTCTTGCTTACACTCCCTCCCCCGTACCACCCAACCCAACCCTCCCCCCTATTAGATGTTTACTTTGTCATGACAATATATTTTATACAAGATACATTTGTTGGTTTGGATTTCTTATATATCCCATTTGTAAAATATTAGTTGTATGATGTTACGGGGAGGACTTTGTTTTTTGTGAAAACATATTTCATTTTTTGGTAATTTATGTCCTGAAAAGAAAATTCAGGAAAATAACTATCTTCTTATTGTTTCAAAATGCTTTTAGTTTTATTCTTCAAAAATAAACTTTTCAAAATATTAGAAATTATTTATCTACATCAACCGTGTTAGGTGGAAAAAAGAAGTTAAGAGTGTAGTTTAAATGGCATATGATTTAGCGGCTAAGGGTAAGACCCTAAAAGTTAAAAGTGTGGTCTTGAGTTCTAGCCTCCTGTCCCCTTTCCGCTTCCATTTTCAATATGCTATATGTAGTAAGGCATACATGTAGATTGTGAAAGTAGATTAAAAGTAAACTCCCATTTGTACTGAAAAAAAAGTAAGTAAACTCGAATCTACGACGTCCATAAGGGGTATAAATAGTTGGGTAAGGCAAATTTTATGAGTTTTACATTATCTTCATGTTCAGAATTGTATGTTATTATCTTGATAATGGAGATGATAGAGTGGTTAGTATTTTGCAACAGAGTACTATTGGAATCCAAAATTTATGTCCAATATAATGAATGGATTGACATATAATCATTTAGATGTATATGTATATGTTGAAAATGGTAGAATTTTAAGAGTTACTTCTACTTTAACTTTTCTTGGTGATCATGGTAAACCGAATGACACCAAAACTGAACGCCTCATTCAAAAATACTTATCAAATAAGACATTGCTGTAATGTCTTACTCTGGCTGGATCCAAAAGTATTTGTGGTTGGACATTACTCTAAATCCAAAAGTGTGTTATTTTGAAGTTTCAGTAGCGCATCCAGAACAAGGAATTTGATTTGAAAGGGATGAAATAATAACTCGATCTTATTAACTTTGCATATCATTTAGGGGAGAGAGGACACAATGAATCACATCGTGTAACCCTCCATTGCTCCATTGAATTGAGCTGAGAAGGATGAGAAAGTTGTGGAGCCTGAAATCTTGAAATTGAGATTCAGATTTAGAAGACTCTGTGACTTTGCAGCAGTCACTTGAGATTGCAGCATTCAATTGAGAAGACTGTGTGGCTTTGTAGCAGTCAATTGAGATTGAGATTGAGAACACTACGATGGCATTTTGTAGCAGATGGCTCAACGCAGGAACACATTAGACAGTGGCGGATTAGGATGAACTAGGAGGGTATCACCGCGCATCGCGCGGTGTGAGATTGTATCTAAGTCTGTATTATTTCTAAAGAAAAGAAAAATACATTATCATGGGAGTCATATGAGTTAAAAGGGTGTCAATGTATAAATGCAATTTTCCGTAATGATATTAAATTAGAAATTAGTTTTGCATTAATTATTTAGGGAGTTGATAGCTATGATGTATATATACAAGCAATATCAATCCTCAATTGGTAGACTTGCATTTATACGAGTGTGATAATGTACTTTGTCACCATGGCTTTTGTATGTGCCAAAATCAACTGTGAATTTAACTTTTGTATGTTACAACCAAAGCTTCACATTTTATTGTGAAAGTTGAGGATGATGCTATCTAATAGTTGATAAATTTTTGAAACCAAACACTTGATAATTCGAGAAACACATGATTCAGATTAAAATGACAGAACTCTAATAAAAAACAAATATAAGGAGGCCAATCGATTGTTAGGCCATTGCTGCTACTCTTACTTATAGTAAAATTACTTTTCCTTTAATTGTACCTTTATCCACACTATCCTGAAAAAATCCAATTTCTTATATTTATTGGTGACAGGTTCCGGAGTCATGTTCTAAACTTAACCTTCACAAAATCCTACTTGACTAAATAAATAAAAAAATATTATGAACTCGTAAACAGAAGCAAAAGTGCCAAGACAAAATGTACCAAAAATTGGGCACAGTGAATTACATAATCGTGAATAGCTGTCCCATAAAACTAAGAATTCTAACAAGTTTCTTAGTCTTAATTGCCTATGGCTCTTAGACATTCAAAAGTCTTTAAAAGAGCAGCCATGAAAGCGGACAGAGAGTGATTGACTAATAAGATCAAAAGCAGACTAATTATTAGCAGAAAAATTTCCCAACATCCAATAAGACCATATAGCAGCTGTTGCAAAGTAGGTAGGTTCGGTAGAATTTCCACACTGTTCAACTCTCTACTTTTGCTGTAACTTCAGGCATAGAGAAAAAGAAAATGAGCTGAAGACCACAACATAAATAGAATAAAGACAATTTCAATTTACTAAACATTACTTGTGTCGACTATAGATCAATGCTTGATCATGCTAAGAAGTTTGAATTATTTTCTCATGCAATAAATTCAAGAAGTTCAAGAGGATAAGAACATCTTTTGCAGATAAACAGAAGAGCCGATGAAAAAAAAAGAGCAAAAAAGTAGGCATTTAAATCACTTTTGTAAAAAAATAAAAGAGCCAAAAACAAAGAAAGAAAAAAGAACAGTTAAATAATTTCTAATTTTAAATTCAAGTTAGCATCAACTCATGTAGCTGAGTCTTTGCTTTGAGTTGATTGAAGCTAAAAAACCACAACCAAAAGGTTCCAAATAAATTGAGTTATGTGTTTGGATAGCAAAAATATCTCAAATAATATATCAACATATTTCCCAATCCAACTTTTTATATTCCCAATCACCTTTTTATCTCACATACATCACATCACAAAAAGTGTTACAGTAATTATTCCAAATAATGTTTCAAATAATACTCTAAAGGAATCTTCAATATCAAAGGTTCCAATAGGTTCCAGAAAATGCAACCAATAGTTTCCAAAAAAATTGAGTTGTTTAGCTTCCAAATGAATCATCAATATCAAAGCAATATAAAAGCAATTCTCTTTTCTGAACAAGGAAATCCATTTTCCAAATAAGAGTAATCAATAACTTCAAAAAAAGAAAGAAAAAAAATATCATTACAACGAACCCGCCATGGTTTTTACCTTTAACAATTAAGAAGTCATACAGAGTAAGAGAAGGAAATCAAAAGATAAAAGGAAGACAAAAAAACAAAAGATATGCAAAAGCTACATGCCTCTTCTTGTCCTTAGGCAAGCAAGACACTGAGCTTGCGTACCTTAGAATCTTAAAGCACTTTTAGTCGCTATTGCAAAAAGAGTGCCTAAGTGCACATTCAGCCATAGCAATCCCAAGCTACAGAGAGACATTAGAATCAAGGATATTAAGATCTACTTAATGCACATAACTAAATTTGGAAGTGTTTGGAATACATCATCAACATAACTAAATTTAAGAAGAAGAAAACTACATTAAATTACATACCCATAACTAAGAAAATACTTAATGTACATAAATAAATTTAAGAAGAAGAAAATTACATAAATTTTCAAAGATTGAAATATTTCAAAACAAATTTATTTGAATTATCTAAATGGTTTCCATCATTTTATAGCAATGACGGAACCATTCTGCATTCTCTGAGAAGATGTGATTTAGCTTTTATTTAATTACATTTGACTATACAAAATTTTTGCTAATATGCAGAATAAAAAGTACTCTTGTGAGCATAAATGAATATAGATACTAGCAATGCATACCTCTGTTGCCAAGTAAATACACCAATGACTAACGTATACCCCAGTGCTTAACTGAAAAATGTTGCATCCTTTTTTCTTTCTTCCTTTCCCTGACAATAACTTGATTAAAAACATAGGTGAAATTAGATTGGAGGAAAAATGTTTGTAGTTTATCTTTCAAAATAAATCCAAATAAACGTGACACCAAAAAAACAAAAATTCTTTATCTTTTGTCCAATGACAAAAAAAAAAAAAAAAAGTAAAGGGAAACAACCTGACAAATAAAATACAAACAAGAAAAACTTTCCAGGGATCTGACAACTGCGAGATACACTCGTTTAGCAAGTGAGTTTTTTGGGTGTTTGTCTAAAATTTTACTGTAACTTACTGTAGAAGTTTTTAAAAAAATTTTTGATATGTGTTTTTTTTTTTTGAATATTTTGAAGTGTATAATTTAAAAACTTTGAAAAGTTTTTTGAGATTACTGTAGTTAAAGTTTTTAAAAAACTTGTAACAGACAAACTTGGCAAAAAACTTGTCTGCCAAACAAGAAGTTTTTTAAAAAATTTTAAAATGGTAGAGGGTTCAAGCGTGGCAATGATTTTCCAGAAACCAGAAAGGCTTCTCCGATCTTCAAAGAATATTTGCTACTTCAAGAATTATTCACGCCCAAATTTCACATTCCAGGTGAATTAGTTTTTCGATAAAAGTACAATTTGGTCATGCAAATATAACTATTTTATTAGTTTCTTTTTTATATACAGTTAGAAAGAATCAATAATCATAGACTCATGGCACTTAAAAAAAAGAGTTGCAAACGTTTTTAAGCTTGCACAAGATTTTGCTTAATCAATCGCAAATTCCCAATGGCTTAAATGGCTGTTGAAATATCTAGGCATTAACGCAAGACAAATATTAAAACACTAA